AGAACTTGAGGTGTAAGAAAAGTATACACCTCTCCCACCTGTGGGCAGGTGGACAGGGCTTAGGATAGCTGGAGCCTATGATAGCTGGAGCCTATGATAGCTGGAGCCCATGATAGCTGGAGCCTATGATAGCTGGAGCCTATGATAGCTGGAGCCTATGATAGCTGGAGCCTATGATAGCTGGAGCCTATGATAGCTGGAGCCTATGATAGCTGGAGCCCATGATAGCTGGAACCTATGATAGCTGGAGCCTATGATAGCTGGAGCCTATGATAGCTGGAGCCCATGATAGCTGGAGCCTATGATAGCTGGAGCCCATGATAGCTGGAGCCCATGATAGCTGGAGCCCATGATAGCTGGAGCCTATGATAGCTGGAGCCCATGATAGCTGGAGCCCATGATAGCTGGAGCCCATGATAGCTGGAGCCTATGATAGCTGGAGCCCATGATAGCTGGAGCCCGTGATAGCTGGAGCCCATGGTAGCTGGAGCCTATGATAGCTGGAGCCTATGATAGCTGGAGCCTATGATAGCTGGAGCCCATGATAGCTGGAGCCCATGGTAGCTGGAGCCCATGATAGCTGGAGCCCATGATAGCTGGAGCCTACGATAGCTGGAGCCCATGATAGCTGGAGCCTATGATAGCTGGAGCCTATGATAGCTGGAGCCTACGATAGCTGGAGCCCATGATAGCTGGAGCCCATGGTAGCTGGAGCCTATGATAGCTGGAGCCTATGATAGCTGGAGCCTATGATAGCTGGAGCCTATGATAGCTGGAGCCTATGATAGCTGGAGCCCATGATAGCTGGAGCCTACGATAGCTGGAGCCCATGATAGCTGGAGCCCATGATAGCTGGAGCCTATGATAGCTGGAGCCTATGATAGCTGGAGCCTATGATAGCTGGAGCCCATGATAGCTGGAGCCTATGATAGCTGGAGCCCATGGAGTAGGGATCCAGTTAGGCCCTCCCTTCTTCACATGCAGGGTACAGTGCTAGGAAGTGTGTGTGTGTGTGTGTGTGTGTGTGTGTGTGTGTGTGTGTGTGTGCGCGCGCGCGCGCATGCACGCATATATATAATCTGTGTGCCATTGTGGGAATAAAGGCTGGGGACGCTAGTATGAAAGATTCTGGCCAGTTGAAGGAGGTGGATGTGATTAGGGCAAAGGATTTGCCTATCCTAAGGTCCTAAAACCTTCTCCATACCTTCTCCTTCTGGTGCCCAGCACCAAGCTTGCACAAAAGAGGCCTAAGAGCCACTCCCCCGGTGTCAAGATTGTCTTGTTCAGGTTCTGACAGAGTCGTGAGTATGCTGGAGGCGGCTTCATCTATGGGTGATGTGGTGATAGGGCGGGGGGTGGGGGATGGGAGGGAAGTGTGCTGCTCAGGCTAACCTTGCTGTGATGGTAACACAGTCTCTCAGGGGTCTGGGCCTCAGCAGGCTGTGTGCGCTTTGGGGTGCGTGGTGGGTGTGGAGCCTTGATAGATGGATCTACGCTTGTGCTTCTGGACCCAGGGTCGTCTTCTCCCTCCACATCCAAAGAGTACTTCTGCCTTTGAGCAGGATGTGATCTACACCTTCCACATTCCAAAATGACAAGGAATTAAACAAACATTTGTTGATGATGCCTGGGACAGAAATGACTTTGTTTCCTCTTCTCCCTGTCCCTGGCCTCAGCCAGAGATAGACAAAGAGATGCATAGTGGGGTGAGGGTAGGGTGGGGAAGGCAGAGGAGCATCCGTTGGGACAAGCTTGTCCAGAACCCAGTGGAAGGAGAGAGACACACACAGAGAAAGAGGGAGAAGAGTGTGTTATGCAATTTATGCACTGGTTGTACATCCTCGCTTCCAAATGCCTTTCTGCCAGCCACCCAACCTTCGAGCTGGGCTCCACGGAGTAGCCAAATACTTGGTTCTATTTTTAATGGCGACCCAGAAGCTGCTGGGGAAAGGGCAGGGGAACATGGCGGGAAGAACTTCATAGCGATAGAGGCTCAAATCTAGCCTGGCTGCCTCCTGCCTGGCTGGGTGCCTCTGGGCAAGTCCCAGAACTGTTCTCTCTTGCCTGCACATGTGGGTGAAGGCAGTACCTCACAAGGCTCTCTGAGCCTGCCGGGGAGCACTGTGCACCCGAGTCTTCTCACATTTGTCCAGTGGACAGTCAGGCGGGTGGAGGGAGGCTGAGGTAAAGTCAGCTCTGCTGAAGCTGGACACGGCAGTTGTCCCTCTCAGATGTTTCTGTGGACACCTCAGCGTAGAGGGCTGAGCTCTCCATGTTCAACATGCATAGGAAATAGGCAGGAAATGGAACTGGCTATTAGTGAGTGACCAGCAAACCCACCAGACTCCTCAAGCTGCACTCCGGCTATTCACTGCCCACTGCAGGAGTCCATTTTAGCCCAAAGGTTTCATCTTTTCATCTGCTCCACCTCTTAATTTGGATGTCGTGTGTGTGTGTGGGGGGGGTGGTGGTGGTGGTGGTGGTGCAGATGTCATGCCTGTGTGTGTGTGTGTGTGTGTGTGTGTGTGTGTGTGTGTGTGTGTGTGTGTGTGTTTGGGGGGCTGTTGCTAGAAAACAGGAAGAAATAGTGTATTTTACCCACAAACACTAACAGAAGTAGCAACCCCCCAAACACCTCTTGGTGTCCCTAGGGAGTGTCCCGAGGTTAACTGTACCGTCTTGGTCTCAGCCCTCGGCCACGTGCTGGCTGGCATCACAGGAGGCATCAGTGGCTCTGGGAGCTGCCAGCTTCCATGCTCTGTTCTTATGAGAGAAGCTGGCAGTTCCCGCCCAGTTATGGATCTGAGCACTGGACAAGGAATCCTGAACTAACTCTCCCGGCGCTAGGTCTCAGGAGGCTGTTCTGACCCTGGGAGGTAGATACAGCCTGCTTGCCCCTCAGAACCCCCTGAGCTTTGGGGAATAACAGAGGCAGCCCAGTTCTTCCCGTGAAGTCCCCCAGATGGCTCTCTCTGCCAGGCGAGCCAGCTGCCCTGATCAGCTCCGGGCTCTCTTGATGAACAGTGAGTTCAAACGGCTCGAGGCAGCTGGCAAGATGCTAAGTGCAGCATCAATCCTAATTAGGATGAGGAATTAATACAGAAGGCACTGGAGTCACCACGCAGGCCAGGCTTGACGGCAGCGTCCAAGTTTCCCTTGGGAAACGGGAAGGTCCCAGCTCCGTGGGTTTCTCGGGGGTGGGGGTGGGGTGACAGTGGCATGATTCCCTATGCCACACATGGCATCCAGTGGAGCCTGTGAGGTAGAACACAGCCCTGCAGCCCTCGCTCTCTGCCTAACTCCAGTGCTGTGGCAGGTAGTGACGTGGGTACATTCTCCAGATAAGGAGTAGGTGTGCACGACCTGAACAACTGCATACCCAAAATGATGTTTTTCAGAAGAAAAGAGGGGGGGTGTCATCGCGGGCCCACTAGCTCCTTTGTGAGGCGTGCTTTCCCCCTTAACTGTTAACCTCACACTTCTGTCATCGACAGACTGCTCAGAGCCCTGGCATGAAGCGCCAAAGTGCAGAAGTAGCCCTGATCTGCAATCGGTGTTGGGGACAAAGGTGATAGGAGTCCGGGGTCTGGCGGGGACACCGGGGGACGGGGGACGTCAGGGAGCAGACACAACCTCACAAAGCCTCCTTTCAGATGGCTCCAAACGCAGCCAGGAAGGGCCCTCTTTCTAAGAGCCGGTCCCCAACCTCCTGTCACATCCCACCACACTTAAGTAGCGGGAGGGGTTGTAGCTGCAGAAAGAAGAGGATGGAAGAATTTCCTCAACCACCCAGGGGCGGAGTGAACACAAGACAAAAGGTGACAGGAAAGAAAGAGGAAACGCTATCCAAGGATTTCTGAAAAAAATTAAAGCAATGATCGCCAACTCCCGTTCTGTCCCCCGTCTCAGAGCCAAGACCAAGCAGTGGATCTGACGACAACCTGGCAGAACCAGACCGCCCCTCTGTAGACACCTGTTAATTCGAGTTTCACAGTTGGGCATGACGGCGCCAGGAGGGCTAAGAAGCTGAGAGCATTTCGGGGCTTCCGAGGCATGTGGTCCGCGCTCCTGGAGGCTGTCCCCACAGTCCAGGGAACCCGACCGCGATCTCTAGATGCATTTCAACCTCAGCACACCTCTCTCGGGCCTCTGTATGCTAGGGGGTCGCAGAGCCCCGCCCTGCCCTGACAGAGCGACCACGCCCCTCCCAGCCCACTGTGGGTCCGCGGACAGCTCTATGCTCCCCAGTGTGGTTCCTATAGGGGTCTCTTGCAGCCTTGGTGCTGAGGGGCTGTGACCCAGGGCTCGCTGCTTCAGTTACGGGAGACGCGGTGTGGCCTCCCCTCATGTCCCTATCGCTCAGGGAGGAGAGAGTCTGTGGCCTCACGGAATATAAGAAGGGCGTCGGGCTGGAGCTACCTGGTTCCCCCGGACCCGCTGGAGGCCCAATCTGTACCCCGCCCTCACTCCCTCACTTGGGGGCTTGGAGTGAGCACCTAGATGCCCCGGGGCTCCCCGCCCCCGGCCGGCCCCGCCCCAGGATGGCCAGTTCCCATAGCAATCGCACAGACACCGGTTGCCAAGCAACCCCTCCCCCTCCTCCCGCGTCGGCTCCCCCACAACCCTAGACTCCTCCCGCCCCCACGCCAGCCTCCACCTCCCCCAGGGGCGCCGGCGAGGCCCCTGGGGATCGCTCAGCTCTCGGGTTGCGCGCGTGTGCGTGAGTTTCTGTGTGTTTCATTGTGTCTGTGCGCGAGGGGGTGTGCGCGTGCGACCAGAGAGTTTGTGGGATCAGTGTGTTGGGGAAGGTCCCCAGCCTGGAGGGACCCGAGGCTGCTGCACCCATGTCCACTCGGGGACCCACCCGCCCAGCTTCAGGTTCTTTGTGTCTCGCGTGGAGCCATCGCCGCGCCCACCCCTCCCCCGGCCCGCTCCCCGGGGCAGTGTGTGCGTGTGCAGTGTGTGCGTGTATGTGCGTGCGCTGGGGGCAGGGGTCGTACCTTCGATGCAACACACCCGCCACAGTCCCGAGTGGGTGAGGTCGCCGCGGGCGCGGCGGGGCGGGGGCCCGTCGTCCATGGTCAGGTTGGTGCCGTTGCAGATGTGCGCGCTGGAGTACAGCCAGTAGTCGGTGCCGATGGCGATGGCCATGAGCGAGAAGGCAGCGAAGGCTCCGGCCGTGGTCAGCAGCATCTGCAGCCCGCGGTCGCATCGCACCATGGTGGGCGCCTCATAGTCCGCCGCCCGCCGGCCCGGCCCGCCGCGCCCGCCCGCCCTCCTCCCTCGGCGCGCAGCTCCGGGGGCGCCAGGGGCTGGGGGGCCGAGGGCCGGGGGGCGGCGCCGCGCTGCGCGCTCCGACCCCGCGCCCCGGGCGTGCCTGCGCTCGGGCTGCGCGGGGCTCAAACTCCGAGGCGCCGCGGCGAGTGAGGGCTGCGCGGGCTACGCGGGCCGCCGGGCGGGCGGGCTGGCGGCGGCGGCGGCGGCGGCCGGGGGCTCCTCCCTCTCGGCCCGCCCTCCCCTCCGCGCTCGGCCCGCGCCCTCCGCGCCTCCACCCACCGCCCGCCGCCCGCTGCGCTCTCTCGGCGCCGCCCCTCCGCCTCGGGCCCGGCGCTCGCACACCCCCGGCCGGGATTTCCCCTCCCCCCTCCGCTCCCCTCTCCGCGCTCACGCGCGCTCTCTTTCTCTCCCAGGCTTCATTCACATTATTAGAGCGAAGGAAGCCGAGGGAAAGGTTGGTTCCCTGGAAGGACCCCGGGGAAGCCGCGTCTCCAGTCACTCCTCTTCCCAACCCCGGGGATTCTGCAATCTGTGGAATGGGAAGTGTGTTCCTTCCTCCTCCCGTGTGCCTATACCTGGCTGTGAAGATCTAGGCATGGATGTAGAGTGAGACTCATATCAGGTTTCCAAAAGCCCCAGATATGGGTCACAGATCGGAGGCATTCTTTACAGGCTAAACCCGACACATCACCTCCATCCCAACCCAGGCAGCCTAGGGGTTCTGGCAGGTGCTGGGGGGATTGAGGCTGTGACTCACCACAGTCACACTTCTGATGGTCCATGCTGGTAGAGGCAGGGACACCGCAACTGTATTGAAGCGGAGCAGCCTAATATTGCAGCCTCCAGCTGTTCCCCTCTCCTCTCAGCTCCTTCTTGGAACCTTTACTTTTTCTTTGGTTGGCTCTGCTTCAGCTTAAGCGGCGTTTTTCTCACCTCCCCTTAACAATGCTAGACTCTGCATCAGGCCCGCTGGCCTCTTCACTTAATTGCCTTTGGTGTTGGCAGGATCCCAAGCTGGATATACTCCTTTTTCCTCGGAGTCACTCCAAGCTCCTTTGTCAACACCCAGTCCCACTCTTCCCCTGTAGGAGGCCTGAAACCCGCACTGGGAGGTCCCGTGTTTCCTTGCTTCACATCCGTGTTCTTGTTGCATCCTTGAGGGATGTCCTGTGAGTTGCTATCCTGAACCCCTGGAAACTGAAAGAGGTATATGGAAGGCTGCTGCCCTTACAATTTTATTCTCTGTAGTACGTTCCCAGCACTCCTCAGAGAATGTTAATGACCCCAAGCTGGAAGCGCTGTTCCTCCTCTGAGAGTGTGACACCCCCTCCCCGCCCCCCCCCTCCCCGCGCGTGCGCTTGCCTAACATGTATGGTAAATAGTAGCAATGTGCAAATGTTTGCCCCGGGAAAGTTATCTTTTGTTGGGGGCATAGGAATACAAATAAATAAATAGAAAAAAAAAAACCCGATAAAGCTCGAGGACCAGGTTGGCTACCCTCATCAGCATTGCTGGCCCTTTCTTCTGCCTTTGGGGTTGTCTGTCCTGCCTTCCAAAGTTTCAAAGGACAAGGGCCACTGCTTTTTCTTCCCTTTCAAAAATGTACTGTCACCTAGTCTGGTATTCTGCACACAGCAGGTGCCTGATACATGGCTGAAAGGACTGGAAGGCATGTGATGGTGTCTCCTGGCTCAGAACGAGGCTCTCTCCAGTAGCCTCCACGATGAACTCAAGGTTCCGTGTTCTGAGAGAGGCGATTTTCAATCTTCTCTTTGGGAACAAATCTTTGTTTCAGCAGAGCCCCAACACAAATTAACCTGGTCTCCCACCTTGTCGTGAAGAACTACCGCTCTCTAAGCAAATGAGGTATGGAGAGTCCCCACACCCCCACACCACACCCTGCAGGTGCAAGCACCTCTGTGGTGCTAGAGTTCCATGACACAAGGTGTTCGCTAGCTGCTGGGTTACACGGAGGCATCCTCGGCCGTTCTGTTCAGAGCCTTCCTCCAGACCTTGGAAGAAACCAATGGAGTGGTCTGATTGATCTTGAGGGGTGGGGTGGAGAGGAATAGATTTCCCCATATCCCTTCTTAGGCTATGAGATGATAACCCCTCCTCCAAGCAAGCAATCCTGAAATCCCACAGGAGATGGGACAGAAGTCTTTGGTCCCAGGATGCAAGTTTGGACCAGCTTTTGCACTACACCCACAGAGGAACGTGGAGAGTATGGGAGAGATTTGAGATGGACCCTGAGCCTAAGATCATTACCATCTGGAGTACTGAGCAGACTGATCTGGACAAACCACACCCACTTGGGAGAAAGCTGCCTCTCCAGTCTGCCTTTCAGAGTTGATTTGAGGGTCTCAGAAATAGCTTTGGACACCCATGCACTGGGCAGCCTTTTGCAGGATGAGCGGCAAATGCCACTTCTACCTTTCTTGGAGACAGGGATCGGGATGTGCTATGGGAACCTACAGGACATTCTGTGAATTTTCACAGCCACCTCCCCACCCCCCAGAACACCTGGACAGGAAAGACAAAGAGAAGCAGAGGAGCTTGCTTAAGCTCTCACACTAGAAGGCAGTGGGTTAGAACCTTGCTCAGGTCCTGGGATTTCAAGGATAGAGTTCTCAAGGATCATCCACCAGCCTGCTTGCCATTGTCAAGTTCTACTTGGCTGTGTTGTTATTTCTTGTTATGTCGGGAGGACCCTAGTGTGGGGGGGGTTGATGGTTTACCTGTCTGTCGGTGGACACCCAACCTGCAGCCACGCTTGGACTTGAGCTCATGTGGATGTAGACCATGGAGTCAAATAAGGTCTTGACCGCCGGCACGGAAGCTGGAACAAACTCAAGGCTGTCTGAGGCCATTCATCATGCCTGGGTGAGCACAATTGAAATCTGGAAATTTCTGCTCAGCTAGATTTGAGACTTCTAAATGGCAGAGTTTTGCTGCCTGGGGACCCTAGAGTTTTCAGCATCTCCTGGGTTGCTTCCAGACCTGAGAGAAAGATGTATCCACCCCTTGCTTGGGAGAAGATTCTGGCCCAGTCTTATTCCAAAGAGATATGACACTTCTTCCAGGGAACCACCCAGGACAAATTGTACAACTAATTACATATTTTATTGCCTCCCTCTATGGTAAAAAAGATGGGGCATGAGACTATCAGTTAAAGGGGTTCTCTAGAACCATCCCCCCAATTCCCAGTGGTTCCTTCCTCATTGGTTCTTTCTGATAATTGCCTTCAATCTTTATACAAGCTGTGAAGGTGAAGCCATCATGAGTGAAATTTTCAGTCTCAGGTCCAGGGTTGGGCAGCCACACCAGGCAGTTAGTGGGGAGGGAGAGGAATACAGTTCTAGGCTGCATAACATCCATGTCAGAGCATGCATGTCAAAGTGGCTGGTCCTGCAAAGCAGGCTACCTCTGCAGCTGGAGGAGGAGGAAGAGAGGCCCCCTCCCACCAGGGATGCAGCCACTGTGTGTGTGGGGGTGTCTCCAAAAGCCTTTATTAGGAGCTTTCTTCCCCTTTGTCCCCCCAAAAGAATGACCTTTATGTGGCAACGTTTTGTGATATCTCTTTTCTATGCAGATGGTTGTTGCGATTTGAGGAGGCTTAGCGGGGGGTGGGGGGGGGGATTTGAGGGAGCCCGGGCAGCGGGCAGCGTCTCAGGCATCTAGGCAGAAAGAATGATTCTGAGTTTTCATAGGCAAAGGTTGGGGATGAGTCTCGGAATGTTCCAGGGCTTGACTGGGGGTGGAGGAGGCTTATCTGCTTGGAGGCTGCTTAGCATCCAGAAGAATGCCCCCTCCATCAGATTATGCAAAGTCGAAAAAAATGACTTTCTATTCTTCCTTCTTTCAGAAGGTTCCTCCGAGGGAGAGCGAAGATCAGAAAATACCGCTTGGCTTTGTGGATTCAAGTTTATTCCATTTCATTTGCTTATCTCTGAGATCCCATTTGAGCTGGATACATAGCTTTCTTTTTCATCTCCACCTCAATAAGCTAGAAGCCCCAGAGGCAGTATAGCGGGAAGGGAAGTGGCATTTAGTGGGCGCCTTTTGGGTGAGGGTCACTTTATGGCCTCATATAAGTTCATCATGGTATCAATCCTAGAAGGTGGATGTCTTTACCCACATTTTGTAAACAATGCATGGGTGGATAAACAGTAAACCTGGAGGTAGGATTTGAACACAGCTCTCTGGAGCACAGCCAGGCTCTGATAATTACTATATTGTACCCCACTTCTCAGGGGGTGCTAAATCCACTCTGCCTACCCTGGCCCCTCCTCCACTTCTCATTCACCTATACAGTTAGATGAAATCAACTTCAAAGCACTATTGAAGTCGCATGGGAGTGGAGTCTAGGACTTCTATTGATTTCTTCTCCTTGCTTCAGAGAGGGTAGGCGTGGCTTGGGACTGAGGGCAAGTGCTAGAAGCCTCTGGTCTTAGGAGCGCACCTTCTTCTCCTTCCTAGGACCTTCCCTAGGTGCTAGCCAGAGCAGAAAACAGAGGCTCAGCTCTGTAATATAAGAGCCCTGTGGCTCCCCCGCCAGACAATGCTGGCCTCTGGCTGCTGCCGGTCTCCTGGGTATTGCCCGTGGGAGGAAAACCCAGCACATTGCTGTCGGTGTTAAATAGTGAACCAATGAACTGTGAGTGAAGTCCCCGTGGGCTTCTTCGAGACCAGCACGCTTTCAAAGGGAATCACATTAGGGGCTGTGCTGGGTGAGCTCCCTAGCAAGAGAGTGTTCCGGTTCCAGCGCCACTGATGAGCGTATTGATATGAAGGGCCAGTTTGGCCAAAGCTTCCAGCCCAGCACGCTGGAGAGTGAAATGGTTATTCTGAGAACATTCTTTTCAAAAACACTCAACAGGACAAACAGGCCAGAGGTTCCTTTGTCCTCAGCTAGCCTCTGAAACTGAGCTGACTCTTAAAGTTGGGGATAACTCCAAGGAAAAATGGGTAGGCACTGAGAGACAGGAAGCCTTTGAACACTGGGCATGAGCGGCAGGTGGGGAGGGTG